GATGTTATTCCTATACACAAATAGCTAGAAGCTTTATTTTTTAAATAGTGATTAACTTATGGAGGCCAGCATTTCACTAGAGTTTAAAATGGGAAATCATTTAAATTTTTATTTTTTCTCAAGGGTTATGTGCAGGAAAAGCCTTGTAGGACTAAATCGTCCGTTGCTGTTCATAAGTTATTTTAAATTAAATCGTCAGAAGATATCATCACAAAAGAAACCTAAATGAATTTTACAAGTTAAATTTTCATCTATAAAAAATCCATCTAAATTTTATGATGTTACACTGGAGCAGAAAAATGCTCTTGGAGCCTGTGCTTATGAACATGAAATCCCTGCAAATCTCAAAATGCAACAACCGGGGTAATGATTGAAATAGTATTAATTGTCTTAGTACGTTTTGAAGAACTATCACATGAAGTAAGTTACTCCCCAGCCTCTGCTTCTGACATTATCCCATTCATTATGGCTTTTATAAAACCTTTGAGCAAAGGTACAGATTCAGACCATGAAAATTATGAAAGTCACTTTGCTGAAGGCCATGGATATACAATTTGGTGAAAATGAGTCATAAACCCTCTACTGCATTGAAACCCTGCTATATCTCAGATACAAGAATAGGTAGTTTACCAAAACTGACAAACCTGGAGCATATGAAAATCAAGTGCAATGATACAGAACACACAACCACCAAAGAATCCATCACAAAGAAATCAAAGCAAGCAGAAGATGCACTTCTACAAAACCCAGCACTACCATGTTTAATATATGACAATATTGGAGGACAGCATCAGTGGTGTAGAAAATGGTGGAATAAAGAGTGTCATGCTTTGGAAATAGTTACTTGTGTAAGCCTATGCTTTCAAGAAACACATAAAATGTTCAATACTGGGACAGATCACAAGCTTATTTGAATTGCATTTTCAAGTCAAAAACTGTCTTGTTTTCTGAAATGGCAAAAGTATGTTGAATTTTGTAAAATAAACTGAATAATTTTATGCTGATGTTTTTATGGTGAAGATAATAATTATGTTTACATATATAAAAGTTTCTACAATAAACTAACAAAAGCTACAGTTACAGAGGTTAATATATACATGTGTGTTTTTATTTTGCTATGTATTTCTAGATTAACTAATTAAAAGTATCTTTTTCAACTTTATGGTTATTCATTTTCTAAACTACATTCACAAAGTAAATACTATTTGTATTTTTTTACAACCAAACAAAATATGCTTACAGATTAAATTTCATTTCATTTCAGTAGTCTCAAGTCTCTTACCTGCATACTAAATATCAGTACAAGCCAATATGGTTGGGTAATCATCAGCTATCAGTATTGGCTACAGATGGATGGTTTTAAAAACTTAATATTGGTTCAGTTTTTTTTATCAGAAACCTTGGAATACAATTTGGTGGTGAAAGAAGCACTTTAAGATTTTGACCAACTCTTTTGGACCCCAAGTTAGACACTTCCAGTGGGCTCATCAAGTCTATCAAATGTCATACCTGAACTCTAACTGGGATCAGTGTGCTTGCTAATTTTACAAGAAAACTAGCCAAAAACTGAAGAGTTTTAGCAGCCAAATACATATAAGCAAGCATAAGTTCCTAAGGCAAATTATATACAGATGATGTAGGCCTACCTCTTTGCTATTTCGAACATTTTCCACTCTGCATGTCTCCTCTTCTGATTTAACCACTAAATCATATTTTTTCTTGCGATTCATTTATAAGTGACATTTCAGAATAACTGTTTCAACAATTTGATATAATTTTCTTGGAACAAGGTTTACAAATACACATTGCTTTATTATTTTGAAATGTTCATACATCAAATTCATTGATATTCCAGACATTTTTATAACATATGCATCTGAGCCGTCACATTGTTTGTAGACGTCTAATTAATAATTATGTGCTTTGGGTGCATCCACTGTATAAAAATAAAATTCAGACAAAAAGAAATAAAGTTCCTAGTGTATTAAAATAATAGCCATGCAAGATAACACTAAAACAGCCTGGTCTAATTCAATGAGCAGCAGTTTGTAATACATGTAAACAGCTTGGATGAGAAAACAATTTAAAGCAAATAAAAAATAGTGTTTAACAATAACTTATTCATAAAAATCGATTCAATTAAATGTTGCAAGGTTATGATGATCAAGTCCAAATATAAACATCTGTTCTATAATCTACTTTCACTTTTGATATACATTTTTAATATATAGCTTAACCATTAATGCTGCATGTCTTGTATAGAACCTAAATAAATCATCTTGGTGAAAAATGATTAAAATGTTCTCATGCATAATGAACACTAATTCTTCAAGAGGTACTTCTTGGAGAAATGTCACCTTGTTTCTTCACATAAGTAATTATGGTACATACAGAATTTTTTTTTGTCCACTGGTAGTTCAATTTCAGTTTAAAAAAGAAACCAAACCATAATTTCATTAACCACACATCTCTAGCACTATCACTATCAGCCAAGAAAATCTTAATAAGTGCACCCCTTGTTTTAATAATTCTTAAACCTCAATTACAAAATACATATTTCACCAAACTTAATATAATGTGAAATTATATCACACATCCACTTACAAGTTCTATTTTTAACTTTAGTTATTACACTTAACATGCTTTCCAATATATCATTTGTAATACATTTAAATAAACATAATTTGTTAACACAGAAGTAATGCTACACACTCTTGCACTAACACAATGAAACTCACTTAACTGAGTCAAAAGCTAAATTTTTAATGATTCATTAAAAATAAAATTCTAAGTAAGGTACATACATCGCTATTCTAATTACTAAATGCAAAACCTGATAACATAATTGTCAAACTAATGTGTAACAAACTTAAAGAGGTACTTAAGAGTTGGAACTGGTATGAATTTTCACATTACCATAACTCTTAACGTTTAATATTTTCAAAACGAGACCCAAAACTTGAGCACTTTCAAATAATTGACTATTCTTCTTCAGGAGAAAAAGGGGTAACTTTTAAGTTACTGATACTATACTTCAATTAGCATTAAACTTTAAGAGCATACTAACAGTATTAGTATATATGAATACATGTTTGAATTAATATAATGAATAAATTATATTTCAAAAGAGTATTTTATAACAATAATTACAAGTAAACTGAATGTTTTGAAAGTCACAATAATTTATTTGATACTTCAAATTTCAATATATCATACATATTTGTCTGACAACTATTCTCCTATCTTTATACAAACCATTCACAACTAACAATAACATCCCACCCTAAGTCTATATCAGTATATGTACTAAACAGCAATAATGTTTCAATTCAAATAGAAAATTAAATGTTTAGGAATGGGTTAGAATTAGTTAAGAGGATTGAGTAGTTGATTTTCAGTGTTCACGCCTTATTTTAACATACAAGCAATATAACGTTCATATTCTTTTTACGTTAATTATCAAAGAGCAATTAGTACTGTTAAATTTAAACCTACACAACTTCTGTTTGCAATTACAACAAAATTAAAAGTTGTAACTAACTACTACTAGTTTTACTTTTAGTTGCAACTTACATATCCTGATCACTCGACAAACAGTCACTCGTAAAAAATACCTAATCTAATTAATGATAGTCTTGGAAGTGTAAAACTTACGAATTTTACCCTAAAAGTAAAATCACACGCTGTCAGAAGCAAATTTTACACAAACAGTTTGTGTTACTTAGATATGTATTTATATCGAAAACACACATCAATTCTTATTATTCCTCGATAGGCTTAAGATGTCAAGCAGTCTAAGATCTAACTTTAGATTCGTAATATAAATAGGCCTCCTTCTTAAAGGTAAGTAACCCGTGCAGAGGCAGCTAACCAATAGAGGGCGAATTGTTTTGCACTTAGGTTTAATAATATATAATATTTGCTTTTATTAGTTTATAATACTACACGTTTAAATTTTAAACAGTAGAAAGAAACTAAAACAGTTTACAAAAGACTTAAAATTACTAGTATCAGCCTTTCAATAGTATTTAATTTCAATGATGAATTTTGATGCAACGTCGACTTGCACATGTGGTATTCAGGTGCACCAATTTCCAACAAAAAGAATCAAGAATCCGTAAATAACATTAGATTTCGAAAATGTTAAGCAAAGAAAAGAAGCAAACGCGTGAATGAAAAACAAACCAAAATGTGTAATTTACACAAGGAAAGTATTGCTGAGATTTTAAAGGGGCGAACGCAAATCTACAGGAAATGGTTGAAGAATTAAGATACATTTCATCGCCCCCTATTCTCCACCACCTGAAACTTACTTATGTAACAATAATCGACCGCTAAAACGACGCAGGAATTAACATGACACAATGTTTAAGGACAACAAAGGCCCTATTCGTCCATCTAGGCTGTTCCATTTTCTAAACTACAAGGGAGCATCTTATGATATTTCTAATAAGGCCTTGAAAGAAGAATGAATACTTGCTGAACCTTGTGCCCACCCTTTTAACTTGTATAAACCAATTTTTTTATTTCCATTATGTGACTGCAGTTATTATCTGAAGCACATAGGAAACAGGTCCAAATAAGACAAAGCAAGAGCAAGAATCCTGATGATACAACACTTTAAAGATCATTGCCGTAGGAAACAATTTTTGAGTGATCAGGCTCTTGCTACATTGTCATCTCTAGGGGGGGGGGACATGCTTTCAGATAATTTTTGAAAATTTAATGCTGTGAGTTTGAATTTTGAGCCATTTTAATTACAAGTACAACAAACATACAACGAAATGTACTGATTAATAATAAGCAAGTTTTAATACATAAGTTGTAGCTATACATGTCATGAAAGTGTTCAGGCCATGGCCTGACTGGCATTACTGCTTCCGACGGCTCTGAAGATATAAGTCCTTGTGTGGGACCCTACAGTTCTAGGTTGCCTGCATCGACGTTTACTCCCATTATATTGTTGTTGTAACGTTGTTCTTTTGTTGGGTGGTTTCTTGGAGAAAATAATTTGAAGTCCAGTCCACGTAACAATAACAAACTAGTTTATTTCTTCCTTAACGTTCTGTTACGACAGCGGAGGTCACGTGACCCTAGTAACACGTCATATTCTCGAAGGTTCGTGAATGCTCGAGCGTTTACTAGATTTCGGAATTTTTGTACATATAAGACGGTCAAGACGTGACGGCAACAATGGGTAACTGTACTGCGGACACGGAGAGACGTATTGTTGAGCGAGTACGTGCGACGTTCGTTGTGAATTATAGCGTTTGTTATAGTGCGACTGTGGAAATTAATGTATTGCAAAGTTGTATTCAGAAAGAATAAACCAGTTTTATTAAGAAAGGACTTGTGTTGCTAAAGTTTCATTGGAAAGAAATTATACGGGAAGTTAACTAACGAACAGAGACGTAACAGTTCTTACAAGCAGCCTTCACTTGTATACTGTCATTACTTAGAAGCCCAAGTTTACAAATGGCGTTCAAACGGCAGTCGCTCTATAATTGTACAATGACTAACGTAAAAATAAACTTAACTTTACATTTTAATGGCTAATAAATAGTAAATGAATTTACGAGCTAACTAACGTTGATCCAAACACTTCACTGAAACTAAATAATTTACTGGCACTCTAGCACTGGAAACAAAACTGACTGATACACTGCTAGCTTACTAACTAACTAGCCCACTGGTATTTATAACCGATGTCTCACTTCTATTTATTTGTGGAAATTAGTATATTTTCATGATGCCATCTAAAAAATTCTAATTATTCTAGGTCTACTTTTATAAACTTTTTTATTTTAAAGTCACGTGCCCTTTAACTAACATTTAAATTAAGAAATAGAAAATGTAGATTACAACAATATATTTTCAAGGAGATAAACCACCGTGTCATACTAACTTAACAAGTTTCTGTACTACCCACTGAAATAAGTACTGTTAAGACAGCGTTAGTCACGTGACGCTGGTAACATGTCATGATATTCTAGAAGGATCGGAGAACATCACGAATAATCCAGTATGTGCTAGGCGCCCTCTATTCCTGTACATAAGTGCGCCTGATAACGTGAGACAAATTGATCGGAATTGAATTGCAGACAGGCAGAGATAAAGATGGACAATTGATTCAAGCGCGGTAGTGACTGAAAGTAAGTGCGTGAATCATTGTGAATTATAGCTTGTGCTGAAAGTGACTGTGGAAATTAAGTGTATTGCAAAGTTGAATTGAGAAAGAATAAACTAGTTTTATTTAAGAAAGGACTTGTATCTCTGAAGTTCCTCGGGAAGAATGTATACCGGAAAATTAACAAACGAACACAGAGATGTAACAAATTGGTGTCAGAGTGTGGGACAAAAAAAAGAAGATGGAAACATCAAACTACAGATTAGCAGATTTGATGGCAGCAATACAAGAACAGCAAAAGAAACGAGAAGAGAGATTACAGCAGTTGTTGGAGGAAAAAGAAAATAAACAAGTAGAGAAATTACAGCAGTTGTTGGAGGAAAAAGAAAATAAACAAGAAGAGAAATTACAGCAGTTGTTGGAGGAAAAAGAAATAAACAAGAAGAGAAATTACAGCAGTTGTTGGAGGAAAAGAAAGAAACAAAAAGAGAGATTACAGCAGTTGTTG